TCCCAGAAACACCACCTCCAAGACTTGCCTGCCTTCCTTACAACCCAAACAATCTTGCTAGCCCTCGGCCCTGGGGACCAGTGTAACCTGTACAATAAACCATCTTTCTCACTGTCTCAGCTGAAGAATCAAAAAAAAAAAAAAAAAAAAGTAGGCAAAAGGTGGGCTCAGCAATTATGAATGAGTGATGCTTTTGCAGAGAGTCTGCATTCAATTCCCAGCGCCCACCTGGAGCCCCACACAACCACAAGTAACTCCAGCTCCAAGGAATTGATGGCTCTGGCTTCCTTGGGTGCCTGTACTCAGGCACATACTCACACTCAGATACACAAACAGACACCTGATTTAAATAATAAGAAATAAAGCATTTTTTTAAAAAAAAGTAGGCGAAACAGACATCCTAGCATTAAAAAAAAAAAAACACATAAACAGAAAATATTATGTGAACACATGTTAACGCATAAATGTTATTTGGGCAGCAAGTTAAAATAACAATAAGATCTTACTATTCAGCTATTGGAATTAATAAAAATGAAATGCTGTCATTGAGAAGAAATGACAGGAGTGAGATGTTGGGGCTATGGATGGTAGAGCAGCAGCCAGCCCCTTTGGAAAACAGTCTGAAATGTTTTGCAGAGACAACTGCAACCGTAGCCTAGGATATACCATCACACTCACGGGCACGCACCTCACTGTTGCAACACTTACAGCCACTCTAAAACCCCACGAGAATGCTCACAGCAGCTCTACTCCAAGTTACAAGAAACTGGGAACAGCCAAGATGTCCTTCAACAGAAGAATTAAGCTACAATGTGTCATCTCTGTGCAACGATGTTGTTAAGCAATACAAATAAATGAGCTGAGGCCCGAGAGATGGGTTGGTGGTTATGAGCAAACCCCAGAGGATGTGGGTTTGATTCCCAGCACCCACATTGCAGTTTCATTACATATAACTCCACTTCCAGGGGGGAGCTAACACCCTCTCCTGGCTTCTGCAGGCATCAGAAACACACACACACACAAAAAAAAAAAAGAAAATTAAAAAAAAATTTTTTTTTAAATAGCTTTTCCACTACAGAGGACAAGGACAACCCTTAAATACATATTGCTAAGTGAAAGATCCCAGCACAGGAAAATCACATGACATCTAGAAAAAGCAAAACTATAGGGACAATAAAAGGTCACGGATTTTCACGGGGAGGAGACAGAGGAGGTGAAAGGTAACAGCCCTGGGAACTTGAATATGTCAAAATTATTCCATAAGATACTGTCAAGATAGGCATGGCAAGCCCACAGAACTTTATAAGACCAAGGATTAATCTTAATACACATAAGAAATTAAACTCTAAGGTCAAGGGATCCTTGGATGGAAGGCAAACTGTAATGTAAGAATCTAACTACAAGTGTGTAAAAGTATCTCAGGAAAGGCACTGGAAGGCAGAGAGGCTAGCTAGCTAACTGTGAAAATGGGTTGAGATTAAGCTTAAAAGCGAAAGGCCCTGCAAATGGGAGCTGGACTCCAGCTGTCAAAGTGGTTGTTCATACTCTCAAGAGTTATCAATTCCAACACTGCTAAACTTGGATAATGGAAATGAACAATTAAGCAAACAGAGATATAGAGCCAGGTTTCTCTTCACTGCTGCAGGGAGTTTCCAGATAAACAGGGGAGAAACCAGAATAATATGTATCACAATCAGTATGATACCAATATGAATTCATATTTGCTTTAATATAGATACACACAGGTATGCAGAAATATAAATATGTAAACATATATACACAGACATATATATCTAAATCTCTATACACAAATGTATTTTTCACACGAGAGCCTGGAATTAATGACATTCCATTACCAAGTCCATCTAGTACCCAGACCTTGGCTTCTTTCAAAGCATAGCTCAAGGGGGTAGAGAGATGGCTTAGTGGGTAAGAGCACTGGCTGTACTTCCAGAAGATCCCAGTTCAATTCCCGGCACCCACATGGCACAACTGCCTGTAACTCCAGTTCCAGGAGGTCTGACATCCTCACACAGACATGCATGAAGGCAAAACACCAATGCATATAAAATAAAGATAAATTATTTTTTTAAAAAGTATAGCTCAAGTGGACCCTGAACTCCTCCCAGAGTGTTGGGATTACAGACACATGTTATCACTCAGGGTCAGACCTGGCTTTCCAATAAAAGTTCCAAACATTAGGAAATCAGTTCCTTAATAAAACAGTTGATTCCTGATACAAATAATACAAGAAGCAGCAAGAATATTCTATAGAAACATGCTTTTTAAAAAGGAAACAAACCACACTGATAGAAACTTATCAAAGGAACACAAGAACCAAGCTGTAAGGATTTGAGCTTCAAAAGAGTTGGGTTATAGCCCAAAAAATACAGTAAGTATTCAGTTGTAACACGAATAATTAAAAACCCAGAGACAGATACTGTGGTTCAAGCTGAAGCTCAGAGAAGCAAAGCAGCCAGCCAGTAGCTCTTACCTCTACCAAGGCTGAAATAGAGATCCTGTCTTCCCTGTGACTGGAAACTGAATGTCACTTGAGACCCTTTGCTTCTTCCTTATTTATCTCTCTAGTGCTGGGATTAAAGATGTGAGCTCTGTTGCTCTTTTAAAAATGATTCACTCTGGTGTAGCCCTGGGTGGCCTTGAACTCAGAGAGATCCATCTGCCTGTCTCCTGAGTCCTGGGATTAAAGGTGTGTGCCACCACTGCCCAGCTTCTATGGCTAACTAGTGTGGCTGGCTTTGCATCCTGATCCCCAGGCAAACTTTATTAAATCATAAATAAAGAATATATCACCACATTCAGGAGTTCAGATTTGTAGGTAAATAACCAAGAGACTAAGTGAAGGAAAAGAGAAAAATCTCCCATGTGACCTGTGACAGAGAAGCCACTTCGCCCTGGTCATCTTCCAATCCAAAGCCCACAGTGTCTGTGTTTCCTTGTTTTGTGTCAGGGTCTGTCATGGCTACTTTTATTTTCAAATTATAAATAAGACATAGCTGTAGATAGCTATTCCACCCTCAGGGATGGGGAGGGGTCATAAGTCTCCACTACTAAAATACAGGCTAGGGGACTCCTTCCCATGAGGAGGGGATGGAAAAGTAGACACCAGGAACTTAGCAGCAGAAAACACTGACAAATACTATCTCAGCCAGTGATCAAGATGAGGCCGATAACCCTGCAGATAGTGTGTGCTGGGTGACCTGTGATGGAGAAAGCACTCTGCCCTGGTCATCCTCCAATCCAAAGCCCACAATGGTTGTGTTTCTCCTTGTTTTGTGACAGTATCTGTCCTGGCTAGTTTATATTCAACTTGACATCAGAGAGAAAGGAGCCTTAATTGAGAAAAAATGCCTCCATAAGATCTGGCTACAGGCAAGCCTGTGGGACATTTTCTTAATTAGTGATTGATGTGGAATGGCCCAGCCCATTGTGGGTGGAGACACCTCTGGGCTGGTGGTTCTGGCTTCTATAAGAAGACAGACTGAGCAAGCCATGGGGAGCAAACCAGTAAGCAGCACTCACTCCTCCACAGCCTCTTCATCAGCTCCTGCCTCCAGGTCCCTGGCCTGTTTGAGTTCCTGTCCTGACTTCCTTAAGTGATGAACAGTAGTGCGGTAGCAGAAGCCAAATAAATCCTTTCCTCTTCAACTTGCTTTTGGTCATGGTGTTTCATCACAGCAATAGTAACTCTGACTAAGACAGGGGACTCACTATGTAGCCAAGTTGGCCTCGAACCTGCCATCTTTGAGCCTGGGTTTCCTAGTGCTGGGATCAAAGGTGTGCATAATTACAACCTAACCCTGGGACAAACAAAAGACAAATTCAAAGGGGGGAAAGCATGCTATAAACTTGTGGGATGGAAAGGACTCCTCAAAATGTTCAAAGTTGTCAAAAAACAAAGATAATCTGAAAGAAGACCAGAGTTAGCCTGACCTAAGAGACTGTGACAATTAAACGTACCCAGCGTTCTGGCTAGTGTGGTCCTGAGAGAGAAAGCAGGTTAGATAAAAACCAGGGAGGGCTGGGCTGGAGGGACAGCTCAGCCATTAAAGGCTAGGCTCACAACCACAAACTAGGGAAGGGGCTGGAGTGTGGCTCAGTGGCAGAGCTCTGGGCATAAGACCTTGGGTTCAATCTCCAAAAACAAAGGGAAAACAACATATAAACAAAGAATGAGTTATCACTAATAACACAACACTATTAACGACCCCTTAATTACAGCCAGTACAACCTGAGATGTTAATAGAAGTTATAATCCCTGTACCATTGCTACATTTTTCTGCCAACTAGCTTACAGACTACTGTCAGTATTCATTTATCATTTTTACTTTTATTTGTGTGCGTGCGTGTGTGTGCGTGTGTGTGTGTGTGTGTGTGTGTGTGTGTGTGTATGCACTCATTCGTGTGTACAACTGACCCTAGAGC